TTTTTTTTTTTTTTTTTTTTCTGCCTTGTTTCTCGTTTGCGTTGGGTCGGGTGCTTTCTCCTGGCGCTGAGTGTCGACCTTGGTGCGTGCGTGAGACTTGTCAGACCGTAAGCAGGGAACAGGCAGGACTGGCCGTTGTGCAAAAGTGTGCGCTCTCCGGGCCAGGTCTGCCAGGCCGGCGTGGGGAAGACTGCGCTCCGGGGTGTCCTCTTCTCCGCGTCTCAACTTGAGTCCTGCTTCGCGGCAGAAGCGAAGGCGCCGAGCCCCGGGAAGCGAGCGGCCTCGCTTGCCCCGAAGTTCCGCATCGTTTGCAGACAACTCTTTTGTTCGCGGAAGTTTGCACCCGCCACCCCCGGGATGCGGGCGCGGCGGCGCCGGAGGGAGGGGGAAGCCTGCGGGTGGCCGCAGCCAGGGCTCACGGATCGGGGGCACCCTTGCCGGCGTGGCTTTTGCACATGGCGAAGAGGGCCGTCCGTCACAGGCACACGGGCCGAGTCACATTTTTGCCAGTCCTTGATTTGCAACACCTTGGGAGTAGGTCGTGTTCCCTGCTCGGGGTTTTTCTTAGGGGGGCGGGGACGAAGGATACGAGGAAACTCAGAATCTGGGGAGGGTCCACGGTTTGCGATGTCCCAGGTGTAACCCCCCCCCCATTATTCCCCAATCCCTCTCCCAGCGCGTACTTGGGGGAACAATGCTCGTGGTGCCCGATAGGGAGCTGGAGCAGTGGCGAGTCGCGCGGGCTAGCTCGCCCGGGTCCCTCGCCTTCGAACACCCTCCTATGACGGGTTTTCTCCCCTCTGCCAGGGTTTGTTAACATGTACTGTATGTACTTCGTATGATGGTGAACAAAGAAAAGCTCTTTGCAGCATTTGATGAATGAGATTCTGCCTCCTATAGGCCACACTCTGAGTCTTCCATACGGTACAATCCGGACTTGGTGGTGTAGGGAAAGTGGCCCCTGCGGTGGGCTGCATTCCAGTCTGGGCTCCTGGGCAGGGCATTTGTGCCGCTGCCGTGCTCGCCTTGCCGGAGCTGGTGCAGATGGAGCCAGGCTGACGGTTGTTCAACAGGAACAAATGTTTGTTGAATTGTTGGATGGTGGAGAAAAGGGACTGTTTTCTATTGACTGTTGCAGGAGTTGGAATGGCATTGTTTATTGGCCTGGGAAGCTAGGCAAATGTCTTGTGCTGCTTCAACATATTAGCAGACTTCCAAATGATATGCTAGCATATGTGTTCCCAGCAGTCTCAGCTGGAAGGGAAATCCCTCCTTGCTCTAGATCCTGGACTCTGGGTTAGAAAAGATGCCGCTCTGTTTGAGGACTTTGGAAGGAACGGAGTCAACCCACTCTGTGGAACTTACTGTTCCTGATTGGACTAGGTTTTTGTTTCATTTTAATTTATCCGCTTAACAAACAGTAACTTAGTTTTGATACTGAATTGCAGGTCTAGTCACCTTTTTCCTCCTCCGTGGCCATAGACCAGAACAGAAAACAGCTATTTGTTTCAAAGGATAGGGTCCTTTTAGTGGGAGAAGATTTGAGTCTTAAATTCAATTCAGGATTGGTAGCTATGACTCTGTCTACTTGGATAGGGTCACTCTAGATGTTGTCACCCATCCCGTGGACTGAGGCATGTGCCGATCCAGCCTCTGAGGCATTATTCCATGCAGTAAATCTTTATAAAGAGAGGCTCGGGGAAGGCCTGCGTTTCTCTCCGAAATTCAGAGAAGGAGGTGATTTTAAGACCATTTCAAATAGATTTCTCCAAGGAGTTATTATTTCAGCCTGAGAAGGTGAGATTGGTGTACAGTTATTTTAACATCAAAGACATTTTAAATAAAAGTTAGCAGTATCATTGATGCCAGAGTGCACTCGAAGGTGGTTCTAACCCTGTCTGGACATTGCTCTGCTTTCAATTGATAATGTCTTTAATCAATTTCTCCTTTCTGTTTTCAACTTAGGGTTGCTCTTAATGGTATTTAAGAAGTTCATAAAATTCTTTTGGAAAGAGCCTTTAGATACCTTACTGTCATCATGGTGGTTACACTTACTTGACATCTTGTAGGGAACCCTGGTAGTATTTCCTGGGGTCTTTCTCTCTTCATCTTTTTGTTACTCTCTTAGCCACTGTTGATTCCTTCACTGTCCTTGGGATCCTCATTCCACCTAGTTCTATGAAACCTGGTGGGCTGGGTGTCCTTTAAGTGGGTCCAATGAGCAGGCGCCTGCCCCATGATGGAAGCTCAGGAAGGGACAGCCAGCTCTCCTCCCCTTCAGGAGGCTGGAGGGGAGGGAGGTTTGTTTAAATACTGGAAGCTGGCAGCAGAGGACGCTGCAGAGCGATATGGTGTCTGCAGAGCTCTTTAGAATAAAGACCTTTCACACCCTTTCAGTAACTACTCCATCAGCCAGCACTGAAGACAGTACTGGTTCCCACCTTCCAGTTGTTCAGTTGATGTTTTATCCAGGCAGTGTGGCTTTCTGGAAGTAATCTGTACGCTCTCTGAAAATTTCTTGTACATTTCCTTAAAAAAGGCCCGAAATAAGCAGATATTCAGATCAGCACCACCCCCATCATTACCACCACCATGCACACCTCTCTGATGTGTAATAAAAGAAACCTGCAGGCATAATTTGTTATGTAATATGCTGATAATACAAGTTTCTGTTTTAGATGGAAACCAGATGTACACAGACTCTTTAATTGATCCAGCAAGGGAGAAGACTTATTTAATAGATTAACTAGTTCTTGCAGATCCCAAAGGTGGTTTGTTTTTGTTTTAATTTAAAGAGAGAATCCCTATTTCAGGACGTTTTTGAGGTTTTTGTCTTTCAGCCTCTGCTTTGCTGCAGCTGTCCTTTTTGTCAGACTCCCCTCTTGAAAGAACCGGTTTGCTGCCAGTGGGAAGCACATGGCTGGGTCTGGCTGGGCTCAGCACAACTTACCTCTGCTGGGCTCCACTTCTCCTTGTTGTCTTGGTCAGCTGCTGCCCTGTCCTCCTCCACCTTACAAAACAAGGCCTGGCTGATGGACTTAGGTGCAGCAAGGAATGTTAGCGGTCTTCTTTGATTCCTTTCCTAAACATCTGATTATGAAGAGGAGAGTTTCTGTTTAAATTTGTTGAATGAAAGCACTTTTCCAAAAATCACTGACTCTCTTCTGATTAGTTTATTTCATGTCTAATTTTATGAAGATTCTTTCTACACAACCGAGTCACCATTATTATGACCCAGGGTTGGGGACTGCACTATAATAGCTGACCCCATTAACAGTAGCTTCATTGCATGCTGGGATGTGAACTTTGGAAACAAACCCAGAGGCTTAGATATGCTGATGTGCCCTGAGACTTGCTTAGAAAATTTTTGTTTTAGTGCAGTTTACATTAACATGATTAATGACCATGTCACTGAAAAGTCTATATTCAAAAGCAATTTACTGTTCCCTAGGGTTCTTCTTATGGTGAAGTAATTTTCTTTGCCAAACAACATTGATTTTTAAGGTAACCTCTTTGATACTTAATCCAAACCTCCTGTGGACATGGTTTGGGGACAAGGTTTAGGTTTTGTAAGCTTCGGATTGTGGTTTTGGTGGTGCCTATCAACCTTAATGAACTCAGGTCAGAAGGAACCTGGGTTCTTGTCTAAGAAAGTTTTCTGAGATCCTTAGCAGAAGTTAGGATGGGAAGAAATCTTCCGGAGGAAACATGACTTTAGGGTGGGTTGGAGGGGAATGCCTGGAGGCTGGAGCTAAGGATAGTACTTTTTTTTTCCCCCTTGAAGAGACTGGAGATGCTTGAGCTTTTCCTTGGCCTTTTTGTTTTTGTTTTTTGTTGCTGTTAAATGTGGGTTGATTGAGAGGGGAAATGATGATGGGTGGGTCTGAAAGCAGCCTTAGGAACTGGAGAAAATAAAAACACATTTGAAGGACTCTGGAAGATTTTGCATTTCAAAGGGTCTACCTTGTAGACTTTCACATCACGTCGGGGTTACAGAGAAGTGTGACAGGCACCCCTGCTTCTTAAACCATTCTCCCTCTATCCTGCTGTGGGGGCTGCGTTTTGCATGGGGGATGGGGGCAGCTTGGTCAGACCTCGCAGGAACATCTTGGAAACGAGAGTACCTCCCAATCATCTGTGATTCTCTGGAGGGACTTTTTCCACAGTGCTGCTCTTAGGAGGGTGAAAGCAAGTCATGTTGGTAAACAGATCATTCGACCCCAGAATGCTGTGGCAGGCCAACTCCTGACTTCTCTACTCCCTCCTTTCGTTCTCCTGTTACACAGTGAAGCAGATTCATTCTCTGCACTGGTAAAATGTGGTTCTCAGGGGTTTTTCCCAAATGGATTCAGACTGTTGAAAGATTGATAGCAGTACCCACTGGTTGTTGAAGGCGCCCCCT